CAATAAAGTCCGTGTATCACAGATAAGTAACAGGACAACGAAAGAAAATTATCACGTATGTATCAAGGATTAAAAATTCTCAACAAAAAACTTCCCTTTATTCGTACTCGATAACCTGTTCAGAAAAGCAATTATCACAGAGAAGCGATTTTTGCTCAAGCGCTGATTCGTCACTTATCAGTGATCAATCGGCAAAAAAAATCTGCTTTGAAGAATCCATTTTCCAATTTATGGCTTTTTTAACCCTAAAACTATACCCAAATTTATGAATTTGTAGTTGCGTACTGTATTTTTTTCGAATGTGTCTTTCATAAATCAAATCGTTTCCTTCAAAAGAACGGACGAACACTCAAAAGCGACGTATGAAAATTGACTCCCTCAAAAAAATCAGCTTTGTCAGATGCATAAATTTGGCGACTTTGTTAAAACGGCGCTTCACATTCAACAGAATATTTGCAAAAACGAGCATATTTCCATAATTTATGAGCAGTTCGTAATAAATTTCTTTGTCAATGGGAGGTTGGACTCTGCAAAATTTGGAGAAGTTCGGGCATCACTTGAATTCGGGAATACCACAAGCTTTTGGCGCATTGTGCATTGGAGAGATGCATTTATGTAGGCAACCTGATGCCTTTTATTCATTCACCAGGGCAATGATAGAAAATTAGCAAAAATCTCAGGAAATGCATTCTTCTGTGTCTAGTGATTTTTATGCGAAAAACATTCGTTATTGTATGTTCAGTACTGCATATGGATGAGGGCAGGATCCATCCTTTCTCCCTGTTCCAACTTCACCTGGTTCAAATTTTTTAATATTACACATTTTATTTTCCATCACTCTTCGAAATATTCACGTTCGTGTGTGACTCCAAGTTTATATCGCTGATGAACTCGAAAAATAGCGCGTGCAATTTTCAGTAAACGTTGATTTTCGTGAGTCTAAATTCTGACAGGGAATCTCGAACGTATTTTTAACCTGAAGCAAAATTTATTTTTAGGGTTAACTATTTTTCCTGCCGCAGAATAATTTTATATCCAACGAAGAAAAGACAAGTTTGCGCTTCTGGAGTTTTATTCAAACTCCTCAACTACAAAAGATTAAGAAGCCACACGAGCTGGTTATGAGCAAAACTCACACCTCATCGGGTTTCCACGTCTTTCGCCCGCAAATTTTTAGACATGTGAAATTTGATGTCATTGCAATCAAATTTTCGTACAGAACAAGCAAAACTTTGTTTGTTCTTATCATATATCAGGAAGGCACACTTATATCCGAAAATGTGCAGAAGATCCTGAAGATGGATTTCCTCATTAGATTCGCGAAACCTACGATTGTTTTCGAGAAATTTAAGGCTGAAAAACAAGATTCACCAGAGGTTTGAAGTAGACCCGACCGATTGATTTAGTTCCCGATAGTCGACTATACAGAACTGAACCCACCCATGGAACCAGAACACCTTGCGGCTTATTGTCTTATTCAGACATCGCGTTGAAACTTGCGGAAGAGGACAAGGTCGCTATATATCGACACTTCCGGCTTCCTCTTCGGGCGGACCTGAAGTTTATTTCCCCTTAAAGTTCTGATATTTATTAGTCGTCCGAAGAAAACGGGTCCTATATGATGGACGAGGCTTCGTAAAATGACAGTATTACAACCGTTGTTCTATGCTGCGCAATTCTCTCAAGGTTATTTACAGTACTTAGATATACCTTGTTATGTATTTTAAAATATTTTCATGAGATTTGCTTTCATTCAGATTACCGTGTTTGTTCATGAAATACGATTAAATAAATTCAGCCGGGAGAACAAATACTTACTGTATGATACTATTCAAAATCGAATTGAAAAAGACCCATTAATTACGAAAATAGACCAATAAATCATAATCAGCGTGTCCAATATGAGGGTCCCTAAAATTATGGTAACCCCTGTATTCCACGCTGTATATTATTCTCTCGTTTTGACATGGAGTACAGCGTTTCAGAGGAGTTCAGTGAAATTTAAAAAAAGTATTGCACATTTCTTTGACAAATGTTTTGCATCGAAGTTCCCACAGAAGAGAGAAGACATTTTATATGCGTAAAATCGAAGGTTAAGAAATAGACAGAGAGCATTTGCGTAAACATTTTTCATAACATCAGACGGTATCTCGTTAAATTCTAGTACTTTATTTAAATATGAGACACATATTTTTGATTTTTTTCAATTTTAATTCATTATTTGAACAATATTCTATCAATATATAAAGAATTTATGAACTTCTGAATTCTTTTGAAATTTTCCTTCCTTCGAATAGAAAAATATATCCATGTAAATCCCAAACTCACTCACATTCGAGTAATATAATGCGACATAAATTTAAACTACGTACAGCAGAACTAAAAATATACATAGTTATGTGAGATACTGTATTTATTTGAACACTGCTGACTATAACCGGAGTCACCTTGATTTTCTTTGAAATAAAATTAACCTATCTACCATGGATCGATGGAAACCCCACTAGTAGAATTCGTATTTATTATCCCGCAATTAGCGAAGTTGATAAAATCCGTCTACATGAATGAGTCTTCAATGGCTGAAATGAGTCGACCAATTAATTGTGTGAGAAGAAATTGTAAATCCCAAAAGTTATTACGTGATATTGAAGCCATGGTGAAAATATGTCAATCTGTAGATTTTTAATGTTCGATCATACTGTCAAGGTATATTCACAATAAACACTATAGAAGATTGCAATGAGTCGTCAGCCATTTTTCCTTTGTGAGGTACAAATTAACAGCACCATATCCCGAAAAAATGTATTGCACTTCGCTTGGAAAATGATTACTCAAATGATTCATTTTCTTGGACCATCGATCTCATGAAGTTTGCAATCAAAATACACAGCAAAATTCAGATTTACCCGGATTTTCCAAAGTGTGACTTGAAAACCAAATTATAGTCTAACCAAGAATGAAACATTACCCAATAAATTGAAGCTTGTGCAACAAAAACAGCAGGAGAAAGACCGCTTGTATATTTGCGTCGCCTCTTTCCATGTTTCCCAATATAATGGGGTCGTGATGCTGTCATCCCTTTTTTACATAACTCGGATATGATGTTTATCGTCCTTTATTCATTGCTCACTAGCATATAACGCAATATAAGAACAGCCCTTGCTCATTTTTTTTATCAGGAAAATGCTGCTCCGCTTGCAACCGCAATGCAACACAAAAAAAAAGTTTTCTTAGAATCCACGTATGGTTCAACAACGTTGATGCTGATGAAGAAACAGCTGCTGCAAGCAACAGCAAGGATTGTCTGTTCCGCGAGAAGCGATTGTATCCATAAGAATGATGCTTTTGTAGCAATGTCAGGGCAGATTCTTGAGCTCAAAACAATGAACTTGGAAAGGAGTGTCGAAAACGCGACGGCAACCAAATCTGAGTTAAAATTTAAGCATGTCTTTGTTCTCGCAATGCGATTCTTATGCTCTTACCGCAACGAAGCCTGTTTTCTCCCAAGTTCAGTGAAATAAATGTTCGTCGAGCTGATTACATCAGGTTATACTCGCTCGACAGACTTGTTTCATTCCACTGAAAAGTCGATTATCTGAAAAATATTTTGAATAATTCAGTTGAATAACTGCTTTTGGAATGGTTTATATGTTCCAGATCCCGTGGAAATTCAATTTATCGTTCCTTGAAAAGAAATACTGTAGACGTTTCCGGCATACAATTAAATAATGTGCGCAATATATGCAGCAAAAACACTCAGAAACAAGGATAACATTGCTCAAAATTCAAGAGATTAAAAAAATATCGTCTAAAAGTCTGAAATGTGATACCTTTAGCTAGTTTAGCAGACAAATTGCTCAAGAAATTCGAATTTTCGAGCTTTCGCTTTTCAGCGTGAAATATATTTGAAGTCGGTTCCATGTTACATGAAGCCATATTCGATTAAAATCAGAGCTCATTATGATGAAAATTAATTGTAAGAGTCGTCCATTACCCAGAGTACCATTAGGGTTTATTTTCTCGAAGTTTAAATTCCGCTGAATTCAGCAGCAGAAAGCAATAAAGGTCGAACGTTTTTTTCGCAGAAGAGACATTTCTGTTTTTTCCACTTTTGTTGCTTTTTTTTAAAGCAAAACCTACGCGAAAAGGCGAGTTTTGAAATACTGCATTTGAAGAAATACCACGTACTCAAGTTTACAAGTAATTTATCGTACACTAAGACACAGTGTATACGATATAATCGATGTTGTTTCTCCTTTCATTTCATACCAGCCGTAATCGCTCGTGAGAAAATCCGAGCGAACTTCGATCTGTAGCAAACACAGGGGCACATTTCGTTCCAATTCCTCCCCGAGTTCGAGAAAAAATTTCCTTTCTATGCACTCATTTTTGTGACGTTCTCAAAGACGACTACCTTCTTATTGTACAGTGATTTTTTTTTTCAATATCGTGCTTCCACTAGAAAAAAAAAAGGTCAATGATAAAATGAGCACCAGAAAATCGTCAGAAGCCCTCTTTTGAACGTATGTGCTCATATACCCCGAAATAAGTAATCCACAAAAAAACAGTGAAAGTTATGTAAAATAGTAGAATTATTGTCCAATTATTTGCGAAGAATTGAATCAGTTCATTAATTTTATCCGACACGTATATTTAAAACACAGTACAGCATACTTAATGAAAATTTTACTACATTTCTCCACCCTGAGAGAGAAAATAAGAAGCTGAAAATTGTTTGCAAAATTTACGAATTTCAAGAAGCAGAAATTCTCCTCAACGGAAAACGATAATTCATTAAAAATTCACGGAATTCAGAGAGTTTGCTTCTTGCAAAAAACTGAACTTGAGCTTTTTGGCCAACATTTTTTTTTTAAATCAACACATCGAAATGGAGCTTGACTTTTTTTAGCAGAAAACTTCAAGCTTATTTTAGGTTTCCAAATAAGCTCGCATTTTTCCGCTAAAAATTCAAGTTACTGATTATCATCAATAATCGAAGCATCTGTTCCTTGGTGAATGAAGAGGGCGAACAGGAGTGAAACCGTGAAAGTGATTGTCGAGTTTCACTTCTCATCCTTCCAAAAATACTCTAAAATCATGAATGAATTCGATTCAATGACACGTGGCAATGATGGTTTACTTCGCCAAAAAAACCAAAGCATTTCGCGTTTTCGAAATAAATGCATCAAACGGTCACTCATCACATTCATCAAGAAATCGTTGATTTGCGCGGCATCGATCATCATCATCACTCGCATCATCGAAATGCTCGCTTCTCGAAAAAATCTACCGTATTTCCACACGAAGGAGTCACTAAATGAACGTTTCTTCAAAGTTCATGAATTACCCAAGCCAAATCCTGTCGACATTCTTCCGAATCAAATCATGCTGTTCGATCATTCCGGAAAATTGGAATTGAGTGCTGTAACGGCGTGTGTTTTGGAATCACTGGCTTTCAACAATTTCAACCGAGACGTTTACTTATTCTTGGACCAAAGCACAGTCACTTGGAAGCGCATCTACGCCGATATTCTCCTGTCCATGCCAAATTTCAAAGTGCTCCGAGCTCCGGACACAGACTTTCTCGCACAGGTTCGTGAAAAGTACTTAAAGAGTCGAATACCATGAAAACGATAAAAAAAAACATGCATACCAGCTTCACAGAAGGCCGTCTTGTCAAATAGACTATTAAAATTTCCTTCAAGAGCTTCCATTAGTCCGAGAAACAAAACTAATCTCAGGTTGCAGATGAGGATTTCCGGAGACTCATCGACCATCATCATAGACAAGGATTCCATCTCACGGCCAAAATTCGCGACTGGGCCATTCTGCACGAATTCGGCGGCATTATGACTTCAATCGACCTCATTGCTCACCGCCAATTCGAGTGGAACATGCGGAATTTCATAGTTTGCAGGGAGTCGAACGGCACTTGCCAACTGGCCCCGGCATCCGCAACAGGATTTTTGCGCAGACACGAATTACTTCGCTTCATGATTGAATCTGCACTACAAGTCACCGACTCTGAAAGCAATGCCAACTGGCAGATGGACCGGTTACTCGTGGACGCGTGTCAGCAGTGAGAAAGCCACTTGATTTTTCGCTCATACACCTGCTGTGATTTTGAAAACTGAACATGCGGTACTTAAAAGTACTTGCTGTATTATGTGATCGGAAGATAATCCGGAAGTCCGACAATTTTTTTTTAAGTGAAACACATAGTCAAACCTGGATTTAATGCCATCAATTGTCCTTTCGACGCATTCTCTTGCTACACTACGCAAGGGAGGCACTAAATCCAGGGAATTGTACAAGAGGAAGGTTTAGTTGAGGGTTTCTTCACTTTTAAGCAAAATAATCTTGCTCACAGGTCTGTATATAACCACCGAGGCTATGAGAGAAAATCACAAGAAATAATTTGAAACTCAAAATAATGTACTGGTTCTATGCTGAATTTTGATTTATTTAATAAAACTGAATATTCCGTATTTACTCCAGTACCACACAGACCTTTTTTTCTTAAATTGAGAGGGNATTTTTGCGCAGACACGAATTACTTCGCTTCATGATTGAATCTGCACTACAAGTCACCGACTCTGAAAGCAATGCCAACTGGCAGATGGACCGGTTACTCGTGGACGCGTGTCAGCAGTGAGAAAGCAATTTGATTTTTCGCTCTCACACCTCCTGTGATTTGGAAAATTGAACATGCGGTATTTAGAATTACTTGCTGTATTATGTGATCGAAAGATAATCCGGAAGTCCGAAATTTTTTTAAAAAGTGAAACACATAGTCAAACCTGGATTTAATGCCATCAATTGTCCTTTCGACGCATTCTCTTGCTACACTACGCAAGGGAGGCATTAAATCCAGGGAATTGTACAAGAGGAAGGTTTAGTTGAGGGTTTCTTCACTTTTAAGCAAAATAATCTTGCTCACAGGTCTGTATAACCACCGAGGCTATGAGAGAAAATCACAAGAAATAATTTGAAACTCAAAATAATGTACTGGTTCTATGCTGAATTTTGATTTATTTAATAAAACTGAATATTCCGTATTTACTCCAGTACCACACAGACCTTTTTTTCTTAAATTGAGAGGGCGGGAAAAAGGTGGTGTACGTCACACATGGGTCATTTGAAAACGTTTTAAAATTTTACGCGTGACTTGAACAGCATTTGATTCTAACGGAAACTTTGGGAATAATTGCCATAGAAAAACTTACTGTATTGGAAGTACTGTAATTGAAAATTTGTCAAATTCAATGTCATATCTAAAGTCAAATTTGGGTGTCACTATTTTTGAAAAATTGAAATTTCAGAGTCACTAAAATGGGGTGCACGTCTTACTCAGGGACAGAATTTTATGAAAATGTTTGACTTGAAAACCCCGGTGCCTGTCTTACTTGAGGGTGCTTGGTGATTGAGTAAATACGGTATTAGTTTTTACATATTTTATGTTTAGTAAAAGGACAGAGCAGTTTCTTAAAGTTCTGTTTGAGTTTTAAATCAAGCAGGAAATCCCCAATATTTCCAAGAAAGCTTCCACTTTATTTCAAAAATTTTCAACACAGGAATGTGTCAAATGCAAAAATTGTTTAAATTTTATTGAAAATTCAGCAATAGTATTCAAAATTATTCTTTTTGTGAGCATCAGCACGTGTTTCTCAGCGATAACCCAATCCTATTCCTACAAAAAGTATCGTTTTCTTCAATTTTGGCACATCTTTCACCAATGAAAATCTGCATTAATTGAGCTAATGGCACTAAATTAGGGTTTTTTTCTTGAAAACGTCACAATGGATGGAGATTTCTTCCAGGTATAGTTTTGTTATTACAAAAGGTTAACACTAAATTCAAGGTTAACTTGATTTTGTTGAATCCTTGGTCATGCAGGAATGCATGGTCAGTGGGACAGAAATTTTATTCTAAGAATTGAATTCGCAAAATTAAACAAAGCTTGATACAGTTTTTCTCCGCAATTTGTCCGCTTTTTTTCACAGACAAGTGAACGCAGGGAAGTTTGATTCGATGGAAAACTGCACAAAAGCCTTAGACGTTTCCGTGGTGTTCGAATCCCGACTTGTGGTAAACGTCGATGACGGAAACCGGAAAGAATATTTCAATGACGAAAGGGCAGAGAAGACGTTATCGGATCTTGCAGAGTCTGGAGCGTATTTCCTAACGTGTTCGCATAAAAGATGCAAGCAGGAAGAATGGACAATCGTCGAAGGATGCCACGCTTTGGGCAGATTCATGCAAGTCTCTTGTCCCAAAGTCAAATTCGCCTTGGAACTAGAACGACTTTGCAGAGACCCTTGGGGCATTTTCGGGCGATACGTTCCCATTGAAGTTCTACCATTTTGTCAGACTTAAGAGAAGATACTCATTCCGAACTCCGCTTGGTGTCTTCAAAAAAAAACTTTTCGAGGCTAGAATAAAAATGGGGGACCGAGCAATTCCAGGAATCTTGGGAGCGAGTCTAACATAATTTCGAAACACTTCGGAAACACTTGAAGGTCGGACCCACACAATGTCTGACAGAAGACCTCCTTACGTGCTTATTCAGAGAAAATTGCTACTTGTTTCCACCTCTACTGTCGTCTAATTTTCAACGTTCCGATTAGTCCACGTCCTTACTAAATTAACTTAACTTCGACATCTGACATAATTCTTTTTTCCTTTTCCTTCTCCTCTTTGGCTCCGTCTGCTTAAACGATCAAGCTTCTTTCGGCTTCGCGAAGACGCTGGCAAATGTGGTGTTAACCCTATTTTAATTACCTTCAAACTTTGTCATGAAGATTCCATTATGAAGTCTCCTGATAAAATCCACTGAAGCCAGGAAACACTATCCACGCACTAGTTGGCGATTGTGGAGCTTATCTGAAGGTTTGATCCCGCGGGTGAACTTAATTTATCTATTCTTCGAGCGGCGATAAAACTGAGAAAATACATTTGATGCAACACAATGGGATATAAAATCCTCATGAGAATACGATCGCTGAATTGCAAATAATTTATCGTAATGGATAATTCAGATGCTTGGAAAATTGCTCATTCAACTGCTGCTCATGGGGGATAATACATTTTTATTTATTGCACTGACGTCAACTTTATTTTACAATAATTTCCACGACTACGGTATATCCGTAAAATGATACATGCACTGGCATCATTGGAAGTGACTTCGACCAAAAGAAAAAGTCCGGAATTGTTAAGAACAACACATTTTCTCTTCACGCTCATGCTGGGTTCAATAATTTTATTTTTCCGGGTTAGGTTTGGTGAAATTGAATTGCTTTTGAGTAAGGATTAAGACAAAGGTGACACACACATGACATTCAAAAAGTGGTCGGTCAACTCCGTGTTTAACAATTCGGGAAGTGGACCACCAAAACTCCAAAATATTTTTCGATGGCCAGCAAAGTTTCATAAATCTTTTTGTGGACTCAAACGAGGTTATAGTTTGAAAGACTTCATGGCTGGTATTTAAAAAATTTGGTTTTCGGTAAGAGTTAAGTCAAGAACCAATGAAGAAGCTATATACTGGACTGGTATGTCATCAACGAAAAAGAAATGTGTACTTCAGGGAAGGTTCCTCAGAATGAAAAAAAATATATATATTCCAGCAGGTTAAAATTTGCTTGAAGTGCTTATTAAGAGAAAAGAGCCAACTTACATTTTTTTTTACCGATGATTCAACTCAATAAGGATAACAGATAAAGATAACCGACTTTCTTGCTTTGAGTACTTTTGATCAATTTATTACGCAGAAGAAAATTCCTGCGGACCGGAAAAAAAACAGTCCGCGGACCATGGGTTGGGGAACACTGGTTTAACAAAGAACTCAAAATGTAGAGAAATCGTTTGTATCTATAATCGACTCCTGTTCTTTCGGGCGAAGAACAAGTGTTCTAGAAAACAGACTAAAATCACTTCGGTGTTTTTGGTGTTTAACGATTAGGAAGTTCCAATGCATGTACCACGTCCCATTAGAAAATTATTTCGATAATTTAAACAGATTGACCAACAATGACATGGACAAGCAAAGCAGCAACTCTCGTTATGGGCGTCATGCTCTTGACACCGCTGCACATTTTCCTAACGGGAGAATCAAATAGCTCACTCTCAAACGACCGCGATTTGCTGGAAGCTTCAACAAAACTAGCCAAAGACCTGGAGAGTGGCAAAACTGCCTGGGAGCTTCTCAAGGAACTTCAAACTGACCTTGAGAAGCATGATAAAGCTAAAAAGTCGACGGGTGACCCCTCGGGAGTTAACATTATTAATCCACTGAAACTCGTTTTCACATTGTGGGCGAAGGAGACCCAAGAGAAGAAAGACGAAAAATCGGAAGCGACTTTGGACACTGATCCGAAGCATTTCGATGAGAAAAACTCTGATCCGCTTGAAAATGGAGTCATGTTGGCCATAAGCGGAGCACTTCTTTTCGTCATGATCACGGTGTTGGTGTTTGATATTGGTGGAAAAACCAGATGGCCGCTTTCTTTCGGTTTACGAAGTTCAACTAGTTTGAGTCGTGAGCTTCTTGCTGACGCTTCAACGTCATTTATTCAAGAGGAACGAGCTGAAGTCGAACATCCCTCGCATCGGATAAGAGATTATCTGGTCAGTATATACGAGTGCGAATTTACACAATTTGGTCAACGCATTTTGCTGCATGTGAGGGGTTTCTTAAATTTCAGGGAAAATCGCCAACATAAGCTTCACCTTGTCAAGGCCAAATTCAACAAAAAGTAAAGCCTCAGAATTTAAGATACAGTCGAACCTCTCTAAGTCAAATTTAAGGGACCAGCAAGAAAAATCGCTCGGAGATTTTCACTCGGGAGGTTTTGAGTTATTGGGGAACAAGCATTTTTGTTGTGGGAACATGAAAGAAGTGCAGGATTTGTAAATGTTGATATTTTTGGCCATAAATTGCTTCTCAAATGAGTTGACAGAATGCAGAACTTGTAGATAAGGGTTCGATATGTGCCCAATTAGTCTTTCTCTTTCTTTCAAACCAGATCAACTTTCTTTTTATTCATTTAATCTCTGTTTCAAGAAAAAAAAAACAGCCAAAAGGCCTCGAAAAATTCAAGCTACGGAGGTTTTAGAGGAAAATCTTAGTGATCATATTGGGACTTGAAAAATGTATAGACGAGTTATTTGACTTATTGAGGTTCGAAGTATCAAGGTTCAACTGCATAATCTGAGGGGCATCTAATGTTGAAGGAGTTGAAAAACTGGTCATGCCTTCCTACTTTTTCGAAGACCCAATTTTGGCTGACATAACCTCAAACTACTAGACTAACTAGAAGGTACCTCGCGTTTCTGCTGAAGTCAAATCAGCCACCATATTTTCATCGCTATTTTTTGACACCCTTGAAGCACGAAAATCACGAACTACTTCAATAAAAGATTCCCAAGCAACTACATTGTGCGCCATTAGCAGCCGTCGTTTTTCATGTTTTTCGGACTAGTTTTAACTTGTTCGCAGTTTTGTGACTCACTATCCCAATATATATATATATGAATCCTGCTTTGCTTAACATGAATTGAAAAATTTATACAGGAAAACCGTCGAACGCGAAGTCGATCCAAAAATCAAAGAAGAAACCTTACTGTGGGATTCGAGAAAACCAGCAACAAGAGCTCCTTGAGAGACGCTCATTGTACCCATGAGGAATATCGCCGTTGTTACGACCAGCATCTTGATGAAAACACTGAAAATTACTCAGAATCGACACGGAAATCTCAACGCAGTCGAAATGCGGATGAGCCAGCAACAGGCGGAGTTTATGGAACTGTTAAAACACGAAGACCGCCAGAACTTCGTGAAGGATCTCCGAAAGCAGCCAAGGAGGCGCAAAAACAACGGTAATTATGAGAAAATCCTCAGAATTTTCATTGACCTGACATGAGTATCAGAGTTCGTTCTTTTTTCCTATGGAATAGTTAAATTGTTTAAATGTTTGCCCTTTGGGATTGAAACAACGGTAATCTTTAGAAAATCCTCTGAATTTTCATCGTTAAAATAGGTTCTGTTATATCTTATATTAACTATTCGTATTTTTAAATGTTGGCCTACCGGGATCGAGATTTCGTATACTTTAAACTGTTGTGAAGTAATTGGAAGGATTACATTTCCATTGGCTCCAGTGTATAGTCCAAGATATTTTTCTCGACAATTAACTCATTGCGTTCTACAGTATTTTAGAAAAATACTGAGAATCTTTCAAATTTCCTACAATTTTCATTGGTTACAAGCCAACCAGAAGGTATCAAAAATTCATGGGCGAAAGTAACCTAGCTCAGAAGATGAACTGTAATGTTTGCTTTTACGAGGCAAAACTCGGGCGGGTAATTTTGAGTAACTTAGTCGGTATAGAGCAACATTTATTAAAATTAATTTGGAAACGTATGCATAAGTGTAGTTAGAGTCCCACTTCATGTGTATGAGCAGAAGTGTAAGCCTCGAGGTGACGTTTCCTCGGCTAGGCTTCCGGTGTGTTTACTAGCCTCTGCGCTCAGATTCGTTCTTAAGTGCATCGTTCGCCATTGAAACTACCCCTTCAACAATCTTCCCAAAGCCCAGCGAAGAGAAAAAGGCTACTCACCATCACCAAAAGAATAAGGACTCTCCTGTCCGAAAGTCGAGGCCCCCCGTGAAACCCCCGGCATTCTTGAATTGTGTTCTCCAGTGTATTAGTCAATGTCCACTGCTCAAATACTTCTTCGTGGACGGGCCTTCTCAAGTGTACTTCGGCGAGAAGGAGCACTTGGCGTCTCCGTTGACGCAGAATTTCGCTGCTTTCATCCGCAATGCAAGTCGGACGTTTTCTGCCCTGAACAAACTTTGAAAAGTAGTGCATGCAAACAATTCGGGTCTTTCACGAATATCTGCCCAAAAGGAAAACATACGAAGCACTATAATTACATTTTCTTCGTCTTAAAGAAACTTAAGACTACCCCAAAAGAATACAGAATATTACTGTAAACTCTGCTCCTGGAAGCATTTTACGTCTAGAGTGACTTTATTTAGGGATAGCTTTCATGTATGGTACTGCTCCTTGCACTTATTACTTCGTAGAGTTAATAAAGAGAGCTGAACTTAGATGAACTTTGCTTTTTATATTCTGTGTTATTGGCAACATAATTTGTGAGCATCGAGCTGATGACTCATGCACACGATTTTGACACGAGCAATGATTCCAGGAATGTAAAATTCTGTGCGTTCGGGGTATTAATTTTTCTGTGCGTTCACGGAATTTTGTTCATTTATATTAAAACCAAATTCATGGCAATTTAGCTGCTCTTCATACCTCTACTTGTAACAGTTGAAAAGCGGGAACTCAAGAATTTTGCCTTTGTATCCATTCTGCTTGAAGATCAACTTCTTGAATCTCAGTCAACTTTTGCATTGTTACTGATCTAATTTTACGCTGCCAAA